ACTGCAAATGTATTTATTAAAGGAGTGAACCACACCTTTAAAGAACTGAATTGAGTTTATTCATTTGAGTGGAGATTGGATTGAATTGAGAATAAAATCTAATCCCCCATAATCAACTTTTTACATACTGGGTGAACATTAGAGGCTTTTGGACAAAAATAACTAAAACATTTCATTTTATTACAGTGTGAATGGTTAGCTGTGCCTACGCTGTACATTAATGACTTTTTCGATAAGCATTCGGCATGACTTGGACTAATCACGTGCTCATGAGTTCCCCCTCCCTGCCTTGGGTTTGGGGTGCTGTTATACCCATGTTGGCTGTACGAGGCAGTCACCCTCTCATCCTCATCGATCATGATTTAGTCTTGCTGAAACACAACCAGCAGCATTTTTTCCATTCCTGTTAGGCGGGGCCATACGAAGAAAACAAGTTTATACTAATCTCTTGCAATAATGTGTGATAGAGGGACTGCTCCTTTAGCTTTTGGTAAAATGGGATTTGATCTCTGTTTAACGTGGTTTCTGTTATTTGCAGCTATAGAAACTTTGTAAACATTTCCATGAGCCCAAACGCACACGGGAGGATAAAACACACCTAGAGGTTATCACCCAGTAGTTACAGAATCGGTTAATCCTTTCTAAGGCGTGCTTGCTACTGTAGCTTCTGTTGGTTGCAGTTTTTTGGGGGCTTTTTTGTAGTTTCTTTGAAGATTTCAAGGGAAACTTTAACAATTAGTTATCGCTCTCCTTTAATTTGACATCGACCAAACCTTTAAATTAACTTTGGACAGCTTTAACTCAGATAAAGACCAGAATTTTATCTACAAGATAAATTACTTTCAACATCATTTAGGTCAGACAGCAGTCATGCAGACTTAAACGGGAGTGTTTACAAAGAAACAGAACCAGAGCCAAAATGATGGGCTATTTTCTACATGTGTGTACATGTTTGTGGATGTTTTGCTTGGACAAAAGGTGACTGGCAGGTGTAAGGGAGCATATAGGTGATACCCCAGGCTGCTCTCGGTTTGGGTTTTTAGTTGCAAAGGCTCTTTTGTGTGCTGTGCAACACTGGTGTGCCAGCACTACTGACAGCCATTTGCATTAATGGTTGAGTGACCCTCCCCCAAACACAAACACACACACACACACACCGTTACCCACCCTGTCTTTGAGGCCGTAAAAGCTGCTCTTTAGTTACTGATTATTTGCAGTATAAGGCCTGTTTATAATTTATCTCCAGACATTCTGTCGCTGACCTACATTCATGCTCGGGAACTATCAGACAACAGGCTGAATGATTATTTATCTGAAAGTTGTGAAATCTGAAGCGTTTTGCACTGCCATCTTTAACAAAAATCTGCTGCTGATGGTCGTTTTGAGTTCACATGCTAGAGCAGATTGATTAAATTTCCCACAAATCATATGATTTAAAATCTTTACCTGCATTTCTGTAAGGGAAAGGCTCAATACCGCTGTTGCATGGGATTTTGTCAAGGTGTGTGAACGCTGCAGTACCAGTCATCCCAGTTTCTTGTCGTTTATCTAGTTTCTTATTGTTTATCTGACTAGCCAAGCTTTAAGCCAGGAGGGAGGCCCCCCGTCTCATTATATAGACTTGGGAAAAAGCTACGGTGGCCGCACCCACGTCAGCCTGATAAACGTCTGTATGTGGTAGGGGAGTTATAATGTACACAAGGATTATATACAAGGGAATGGCAAAAAGAAAAAGAGTAAAGCTGATAGGAGATGAAGGACAAATAGACACACACCAAAGAGTGGAAGTAGGACGGAAAACAGATGCAGAGGGGTCAACAAAGACACAGACGCTGAGGAAATGTATATAATGTGTATGTGGGTGAGGGAGAAACAATGGTGCATAGAGGGGAGAGGTGTGGCAGTGGTCTTGCCAGTTTGACAGCATGCTGGTTGGTTTTTTTGAGTCAATTGGCCACCCTACTCGGCTTATGTTCGCTCAGCAGCAGTTTCTCCGAACTAAATCATCCAGATTCACAGCTGGTTCTCCCCATAACAGCGCTGCTCTAGTCCAAACTGCAGCTTGGCGTGTTTAAATTGATCTATGGCTCAGAGAGTGACTTGTGCAGCTGCTGGACGTGCCCCGTTTCTCAAATTTACATGAGCTGCTTGGCTTCTATTTCCTAAGAATAATAAGACTCCTTTAGACCTCCCTATAAAAATAAACCTCATTACTTTAGGAGGTTGACATCGCAGCGATTATAGATTTGTATGATGAACAAATATGGGCGTTTGAGCTTTTTATATAAGTGTGTGTGTATGTATACACACACACACACGCACGTACATTTGATGATATAGGCTAACTGAAATGAATGCATGGCTGAGTAAAAAACCTGATTAAAACTGATGCTTTTCTAATTCATTTATTATTACTCAGAGCGTAAGTGTATTGAGATTGAAGTAATTAGAAAATTGCATTTACATGGTCTTATTTCAAGCACTCCCTTTGTGGAGTCGACTTATTCATTTATTTATTTTCCTCAAGCTTTGTCCCGTTACAGCTCGCTGGCATGCCTGAGTCTTTAGTGGGCTCACCACTATTGCACAACTCACACTTGGGCTTGATTTAGAGCCACAAATTGACCTAATATCCATATTTTTGGACTGTGAGGAAACAGCGATAACCACCACGACAACAGTGCAGCTGTGGATCGGGTCGTGCACAACAACATAATACGATAATTACAGTTTCTGCTTAATTACACTCGTGCTTTTATCCATAAAAAGATTTCAAACATGTTTGGGCCAAATGCCTTCAAAATTTAAACATCAGGAACAGGTCAGCAGGTCAAATGTGGAGGTGACAAGTGGAGAAATATTAGATGTTTGCAGAAACAAAGCAGGGCACTGTGCCCAAGTCTGTAAAAACTGAATGAGACCTGTAACTGGATATGCATGAGTAAAATGGATACTTTGAGTGTGTTAACACAGTTCACACTTCACTATGCTTCTCAAGTGGACACCAATCAACTCACCGCCTCCCAGTTACTGTTACGAGTCTTTTAAAATCACCATAGAGGACAAGCTGTCACATGAGAATCATGACTTTGACAGGGTTTTGTTGTGTTTGTTTGTTGCTCTGCTCTCCTTTGCGGAGTAGAGTGATGGAAGTGAGTTTGGTCGCTATCCAAATTCATCTAATGGATTTGACAGAAAAGGATTGAAGCTCTCCCACCACAAGGCAAATATTTATTGGTGTGATTAGAACAGAGACCGAAAGGGGGATAGAGAGCAAATAAAGCAACATGGAGGGGGAAGGGAGCAGGAGAAGGGGTAATTTCTGAGATTTATGGCGCGGCACTTCACGAAATGCGTGCATCCTGTAATTAAAACTCCCCCCTGCCTCCAGCAGGCTTGTACATTAGCTGGCATCCCCCACCGCAACATCCACCTCAAACCTCTTTGGTCCCACCCCTCTGACCACTAGATAATAAGATCCTACAGCAGCTTGGAGTCACTAACGAGGGCTTAATGCTGCTGTAAGGGACAGTGTGTTGGCAGTAAGAGGGCACTGCTCTCACCAAAGAAGCCTTTCATTTTCATTTTTTTTCTCAGCCCTTCCTTCATAAACACGCAAACTCATTCACCAGATGAACGCTGACTGTTACGTGTTGGCAGGCCAGAATCCCTCTGCAGTCAGAATCCATCACGATGTGCAAACTTCAGTCAAGAATCAATCAGGAATGAAGTTTCTGACTCAATAAGTCTGAAACTCTTTGTCTCATCTTATTAGGGTTTTTAAAATCATTTCTCTCCCTGAGGTAAAAAAAAATCCAATCAGAATCTTGGTCAAATGTATCCTAGTTAGATTTTGATTTACCGCACTTGTTTTTATTTTAGGTATTAACTCTGTTACAATACAGCTCTAGTGTTGGCTTAACAAGAGTATAATCTCTTTAAAACGGGCCTTTATTAGTCCTTCAGTAAAAGGGATTGACCCAAATGCAGAAATACATGGGATACATTTAAACTTTGTAGTCAAAGATCCACACAAAGTTCATGCATTTTACAACCACTCCAAACCAAAAGCTGTTGTCCGTTTCTGCTCTGTCGGCTTCGAGCTGAGGTGAGTGATTTCCTGAAGTGATATCAAAGGTTTCAGACGGCAGCGTGCGTCACGAAGCTTAGCAGAGGCTCGGTTGAAAACTGAGGGCTGCTCTCACGGCTGTGTAATAATAATATACGTGGCTTTTATTTTCTGTGGTTTTGTATGGTGGTGCTCGGTTGCACATTGTGTTTCACAACCTGTTATTTTCAATAATACATTATGAAACTCCATGACCTCAGCGTGTGATGTTGTTGGTGCTATTTATCTCGGGTGGTAGATGTAGCTGAGATCTGCTGTTAAGAGTGCGAAGATCGTGCCGCCTCTTCATGAGACGGAGTCGATGTTTGCATTAAGCGTGTGATATAAATAGAAAAGGGCATTAACGAGCAATTTTGTTATTACTATGAATGGAGAAAAAAAATAACCGCAGGCTGAATGAGCCCACTGAAACCCCCCACTCCCCAAGTGGGCGCCTCACTTTTACTGCTTACTTTCACTGAACTTTCCAGAGCCCGGGGCCCCGCCAGCAGCCGGAGCCACATCAGGTTCTCATCAAGCCAAACTGCTTCACATCATTTTCTGTTTTCCTCTCCGTCGTCTCCTCTCAAAATCGGATATTTAAGGATCACGTGGAGAAATTGACCCGTGTTTTATTTTTATTTCTGCTGGTGTGGCGTCTAATTATCTGACTGTCACAGCCTCCGCATTGACTGCCATTGTTTCAGAGCTGGGACTGACGTCATTTTCCTCCAGCTGTTTGATGTGTGGTTGCATATTGAAATTGATTTTATGATAGCAGGACGTTCTGATCTCACTAATCAAATGTTGTGTCTAAAATATTTGTTCTTGTCCAACATTAAAACCATCACTTGTTGCTTATTTATTAATCTTCCACTTTTTATCTCAACAGCTTTATGAACTAGATGCAGACCCCAAGAGAAAAGAGTTTCTTGATGACCTCTTCAGCTTCATGCAGAAAAGAGGTGCGTGCATGTGTGAATGTTTTTTTTCATCCACGAGCACTGCTGTTTTATTTTAGATAAACCCACTTATTTAAGTACACCCTATCAGTTCCAGCTCTTATCATCTTCTACTTTATCTGCTGTTTTTATTCCAGCTGCTCTTAATAATTATATAGAGGGGATGATGGCCCTCCCCCTTTGCTGACATATAACACAGCTCCAGCTTCTCCTCTTTCAGTGGGATGGGTGGGGTCTTTATTCATTTCAGAGATGATTGCTTCATAGTCACTCAGGCGCTCATCTGTTCCCAGGCTATAACTGTATCAAAGCCCGGAGATAGATTGGCTTTCTAACACCACACACACACGCACGCACGCACGCACACACACACACACACACACACACACACACACACACACACACACACACACACACACACGCGCGCGCACACACACACACGATGAAAAACACCTATTTGTCCTCGCTTGGATCAGTCTTTCTTACAGTGGAGTGTTGGTTTGTCTGTATCTGAAAGCCAAGCAGCCGTTTGAGACGACTCCTTAGGAGAGGCCCTGCTGGTGTCAGAGGTGGGCTCAGAGCTGGTGTTGTCACATCGGGGAGTGGGGGGGGGGAGACAACAGACATGTGGCCACAACTGAACAACCAAACAAGCTATTTACAGTGACACCCAGGTGTCAGGTCTGCTCTGAGGTACTGTGAACGCCATCTGTAGACCAGAAGGTGGAATTGCTGTATTTAAAATCACCTTTTGAAGCGGTGAACACAAAGAAGGAGTTTGTCTTTTCATGACTAAGTTAAACTGAAAGCTTAATAGTTTATGCAGATTTTTTGTTTTGTTTTCAGTTGTTGACATATTGGCATTTTTCTGGTTTTAAGGATCAAAACATGGTGTGGGATGGGGTTTGGGAGTAGTTTATCCTTTTTCTAAGACCCAAAGAGTTTTATGTAGTATAAAGTACTATGAATTACATTTGTATCACTCATACCCTGGAATTTTAACTGATCTTTACTGCGTGAGAATATGACCTGGTGTTTTTGTTCTGTTTTATCAACCTGACATATTTTAAGAAAACAAAGCCTACAGTGTTCAGTTTAAATTTGAAAGTGTTTGGTTGACTGTCAGTGAAGAATAATCTTGCACAACCATTATGTAGTTGTGCATGATTTTTTGTTTCTTGACCTTTCACCTCTGTGTGTGTGTGTGTGTGTGTGTGTGTGTGTGTGTGTGTGTGTGTGTGTGTGTGTGTGTGTGTGTGTTTTGTTGCAACAGGAACACCCGTGAATCGTATTCCTATCATGGCCAAACAGGTCCTGGATCTGTACATGCTTTACAAGCTGGTGACAGAAAAGGGTGGCCTGGTGGAGGTCATCAACAAGAAGCTGTGGCGGGAAATCACCAAGGGACTCAACCTGCCTACCTCGATCACCAGTGCAGCCTTCACCCTCCGCACTCAGTCAGTGCACACTCATTCATTCACACACTTGGTTGTATTCTTGTGTTTCATCTAACGTATAAAAAACTGCTTCTGCACCTCTCCCGAGGTGAGCACAAGTTGTTTTTTCTCTTAGCTCATGTTAGCTCTAACTGTTGGAGCTTCAATCCTTTAATCCCTGTTCTGCTTGATGTTTCACAGTGGTGGAATTGCATGTCAACAACTACTTTGTTTTACAAATTTAGTCTTGTGAGTTGAAGTCACTTCCTACAGTTGAGTGTAGGATTCACCCATTTCCAGTTAGCAATAAAAAAACACTGATCGTCTTCTAATTTCTTCTTGCTGGAGGCTTTTCTGCACATAGAAGAAGTCTATTTTGTTTTTGTTGCTTTAGCACCTGACATTCCTCTCTTAAGGACTTTTATTTTGGTGTTTGTTTCAGATACATGAAGTACCTGTACCCGTATGAATGTGACAAAAGAGGTCTCAGCAACCCCAATGAGCTTCAGGCAGCCATCGACAGTAATCGACGGGAGGGTCGACGGCAGAGCTTTGGTAGCTCACTCTTCACATACTCACCCAATGGGACACCCACCATGCTGTCCTCACCAAAGGTCCCTACGCCCAGCGTGGGCCTGACTGTTGGGACCAATGGAGCCTCGCTGACTTCTAGCCAGAAGATCAAAAAAGGTGGGAACTTTCAATTAAATGTATTTTCTTATATAGCGCCAGATTATGACATGAGTCGCCTTATGGCACATCACAAAGTAAACATTCCAACACAGGTCAGTTCGTTAAGCCAATCAGTAAAAAGCTTTCTTTATAAGGAACCCAGCAGATTACATTGAGTCACTGACTAGTGTCAGAGTCTTTACAGCAATCCTCATACTAAGCAAGCATTTAGCGACAGTGGAGAGGAAAACTCCCTTTTGACAGGAAGAAACCTCCAGAGGATCCTGGCTCAGTAAAAGCAGCCATCCTCCATGACTCACTGGGGATCGAGAAGACAGAGCAGGCACACACACACACACACACACACACACTTAAGCCCTTTTCAGATAGACATTCTGGAACATTTGTGGACAATTCAATCCGGTTTTTAACCAGAACTGTGTTTTCAGACACACCACTTTTGTACCGGAACTTGTCCTTTCGGCTGCCTTCACACAGCAGGGAAAAGTTCCAGATGTCTGAGGGAGGGAGGGAGGGAGGGGAAGGGGGGGTCGGACTTATGTTAAGCATAATTCTGCGCACACGAAGATGCATAAGAGACCTGGATGATGAAGCTCAATGGTTAAAGGAATCACTGAAGCGGTGTGAAGTGCTGCGTCGCGCGTCTAGACGGTACCGTAGGAGGCGAGCTGCCGTGGTTCGCCGCATGCTACAGCAGCGGGCTATCTAGGTGCGCACAGCGTCCCCCGGTCCCCTCCTCCTCCCCCTCCTCCCTGTCTGGAACTCGACCTCACCAGTCTGAAGCAGCCACCCTGTCCGTAACAAGTCCGGACCTGTTACTAGGGGCTTCGTCCGGTTAAATTACGGAAAATGTTATCCGGATATTTGTATTCAGACACAAAGGTCTTACGGACAGAGTCCGGAACATTTCCGTTTTTCATGGCCTGTCTGAAGGGGGCTTTACAGACCCTCCCTTACACACACACCTCCACACTTACAGACCCCCCCCCCCCCCACACACACACACACACACACACAAAACTCATTGCTGCTGTTGTGTCCTTCCTTGGGCAAGACACTTAACCTGCCTTGCTGCCAGTGTTCAGCAAGCCATGCTTCTGTCACTGTGTGCCAGGGCAGCTGTAGCTACTTTGTAGCTCATCCCCACCAGCGTCTGAATGTGTGTGTGAATGGGCGAATAACCAATTGTGTCGTGAAGCGCCTTGGGGGGGTTTGTAGAACCCTAAGAAGGTGCTGTACAAAAACAGGCCATTTCTTAGATTTTCTATTTCATAAGAGAAACTTTTTTGTCTTTATCTTAGGGAATCTATGATTAATTCAACAGGTGAACTAGTGGTAGCACATTTCATTTTCACTCCAGGAAATACGGAGTATCTGTACATATGTACAACACAATGGTTTTAAGATGACACAAATGGTACACAATACAGGCATATTATGTTGCAAATAAAATTTGTAAAGAAATTTGCTAAATCAGTTGGCAAACAAAACAGTACTGAGAAGGTTAGAGTGCAGGTTCGAACTAATGACTAATTTTCAAATCAAATTTCAGGGTTAGAAAATAATAGAAAATATCTCTTTTTGATTTGGTGTCACGTACATCATGTTGAACTGCTCGGTGTTTTCATTTAAGAACCAGATATTAATATGCTAAAATAAAGCATAATGTGAGTTTATCTGACTCCAAGTTCTGCATTTTCTCTCGGTCTGACCAGAAGAGGAGGGAGGCCAGCCACTGCCGGGGGTCGGCTTGGCTCGTCTGCCTATGGGGCCGGTGCCGAGTCACTCAGTGGTTGCTGTGCAGGCAGCGATGGCAGCTCAGGCGGTTGCTCTGGAGCAGCTGAGGGACAAGCTGGAGTCCGGTGAGCCGCCGGAGAAGAAAATGGCTCTGCCTGCTGAGGAGCATCACCGGATGCTGCAGAGAGTTTTCCAACAGAACTTGCTGGCTATGACTGCTCAGATTCCAATGAACATCCGCATCAACAACCAAGGTAAAGAACACAGCTTGACACACACAACGCCACACAACTCAAACAAAGAACTTTACTTTGATGTTTTCACACCATCCCTCCTGTCCGTTTCTCTTGTTCAGCAATTTTGACTTAAAAAAAAAACAACAGAAAATTCTAACAATACTAAGCTTAAATTCATCCAAGCTTCATAAATTTAAATAAAGCAGATTTTTTTGTGACTTTAAATTTAAACTAACTGCCCAATCACTATAAAGTAGATATTATATAACATATATCTTTATCTGTCTCTACTAAACTCGGCTTTATATCCATTTACTTTAAAAAATATCTGCTGTTGTTTTCCAGCTGAAAGAAAATAAATCCCCATTGTATTACTACATTATCGCTGTGCTTTGCATCATTTTTAACTGTGCCCTTTATTTTTGGCTGCACAATTTCTGGATTTCACACACCTTCCCTGCAACAGTTGCCATCTCAAGTCATTCTTGTCATCTCACCACAAACCGCAGGTGCCAGCAGGGAGGAAGAAAACCCGCTGCAGGCCTATATGTTGACCCGTTTAGCTTATAGGAGCAGCATGCATGCATGCATGCACACATACAGTACATGTGTGTTTGTCTTTGTGGGGATTCTCTTCTGCAAGCGAACCCTTTGATCTTATAGCAGGGTTTGTCTCGGTTACTGATTATCTGATGAAACACGCAAACTGTTTCTCAGTAAGTCATACATCAGGTGACTTCAGAGAAATGTTCTAAAGGAGATTTTTGTAAAAGATCTTCTTCATTATGTTTATGCCATCCATAGGAAATTTTTGTGCACTTTCCTCAAAATCAATCAATATGATTTTGAGAGAGGCGTCACGTTTGGACTGTAAACAACTCTAAAAATATTAAACTGTTGTCTTCCTGACAGATGGCAGGCAAGCCAGGCAAGACTCGGCACTAAACCTCACCACTAACGGCACAAACAGCATCAGCATGTCGGTGGAGCTCAATGGGGTGGTGTATACTGGTGAGTACCCCTGTCATGTGGTACAGGATGTACAGCTCATCACTTCCTTCCTTTGTGATCACCCCAACCCCCCACCCCCAATTTAATATTAAATATTTCCTTTACAAGTTATACAGTCACGTCTTTCATCAGACACACAAACCTGTCTGAAAAGAAAGGGAGTGTATTCTGGTGTTGTGTTGATTTACTACAGAAAAGAAATCAAAGTACTGCTCCTTCCTTTGCATGAAGTTAAGGTCTAGTATCGTTTATGCAAATGCGACACGTCCACGTGTAGACACTCGAAACAAATTTTTTGAAACCAAACACTTTTCCCTCTGTCTTTCAGCAACCACCCGCTATTTTTTCATGCATTCAACTTAAACAAGATCTAAGTTGATTAAATATTCTGTAATTGTTCTTTTATTTTACCAATAACTATGAACCAAAACCAGAAAAAAATCCATGCAGCTTGTCACTGATAAATAATTTTGGGCTTGTGGAAGTTGTAGAGTAGATAAAATAATCGTCTTATGGTGCAGAACTAAAAACAGCACCAAATGTGACCACTATTAATAAATTGTTAAAGAGACGATGTTTTTACTGTTTATCTCTGGAAATATCCATCGAAATGTTGTTGAAAATGGATTAAATGATGCCCAGTTGTTGACAAATATTGACGGCTTCGCAATATAAAACCATAAAAATCTGGTCTAAAATACATGGGAGCAAGTCTGCGCCCTGCGGACTTCAGCAAAGTGCACTTAGAGAAAGAGCAGTGTAAGGGTTTGAGTGTGTAGTACACAAGTGTGCAAATAATTGCAGAATTGAGACAGGGAGCATTGCGTCATCGATCAAAAAGCATGCCAGGATGCTGGTCGCTGTGATACTTTTTTCAAAAACCTTTATTAACAACTTTTAAACAAACAGCCAAACAGTTATTTGAAATACATTTACATTTATTGCTGCTTTGCATAAAAGTTTAGAGCATCAGCTAATCGTCCTAAAATTAACTAATTTCATTAGAAAATACATATTTTCAGATAAGGAACTTGAGCCTTTTCTCCTGCAGCAATGACTTGTGGTTAATTCCCTTGCCTGAGGTCCGCATCACGGCAGAACTCATTCAGGCTTGAGTTATTTGTGGAGATAAAACATCAACGTTGCAAAGCAGAGGCAGTGGTAGAGTTGTGTTGCTGTTAGCCAGTCAGCGGCGAAATGTCCAAATATAAGGGAATAAGACTCCAAATCATGTCATCTGAAGCTACTTTCTTCCCCAGCTGACTTGTACTTTCTGTTTCAGACATATCTGAGATTCTTTTTTTTCCCCAAGAATTGCTTACAAGGCATTCACCCCTACTCAAGACCACTGCAAATGTGTTGAATAAACAAGTCAACACCTTTAAACCTTGATGAAATATTATTATTTTTGGTTACCATTTATCGGATAGCAATAGTATAAGTATGCATCTCATTTTATAGTGGAAGAGTTTAAGTATCTCAGGGTCTTGTTCACGAGTGAGGGAAAGATGGAGCGTGAGATCAATAGGCAGATTGGTGCTGCATCTGCAGTGATGCGGGCGTTGTACCGGTCTGTCTTGGTGAAGAGAGAGCTGAGTCGGAAGGTGAAGCTCTCGATTTACCAATCGATCTACGTTCCTACCCTCACCTATGGTCACAAGCTTTGGGTAGTGACCGAAAGAACGAGATCGTGGATACAAGCGGACGAAATGAGTTTTCTCCGCAGAGTGGCTGGGCTCTCTCTTAGAGATGGGGTGAGAATATCGGTCATCCGGGTGGGGCCCAGAGTAGACCTGCTGCTCCTCCACATCAAGGGGAACCAGTTGGATGGTAGGATGCCTCCTGGTTGCCTCCCTGGTGAAGTTTTCCGGGCACATCCAACTGGGAGAAGGCCTAAAGGAAGACCCAGGACACGCTGTTAGAGACCATATCTCACGGCTGATCAGGGAATGCCTTAGGATTCCCCCGGAGGAGCTGGTCCAAGTGGCTGGAGAGTAGGAAGTCTGGGCCTCCCTGCTTAGGTTACTGCCCCCTTGACCCGACCCCAGATAAGTGGCCAAAAACGGATGGATGGATCATTTTATAATGATGTTAAATAATAATATTAATAATGGTGGTGATGGGCACTTTAACCAGAAGTCCTCAGATCATCCACTAATGACTGGGGAAGGAGCTAATCCTGTCTAAGAGAAAGAGCTCTTAGAAATAGGTTAATCAGCTATGATACCTTTGTTGTAATATACTTAAAACAGCTTTTTTATTGTATGCACTTGTTTTTCTAAGTTAACTATTTTCCTGTTTTTTCCCATCTAGGTGTCCTTTTTGCTCAGGCAGCAGCAGGGTCAGCCTCATCTGGTGCATCTGCATCACCCCTCTCCCACAAACCTGTCAGCAGTCGGGCTGCTCTACAGCAGCAGCAGCATCAGAACACACCTACCTCAACCTCCAGCAACCTGTTGTCTTAACAAACTCCCACCTTTTCCATGTCTTTTTTTTTTTAACCACGCTAAGAAAAGCCAAAAAGCAACCTCATTTTCTACATCATCTATGCCAAAAAAGAAGAGAAGAACCATCATCAGTGCAGAAAGACAAACTGAAACTCAGCTCACTTGAAGTACACTATCTCAGGTTTTCTCTCACAAACTCATGTCTTATGCTCTTCATCGCCAAAAGGGTTTTAAAAAGAAATATCCCAACTGAGAGCCAGTATATGCTAAACTTAGACGTATGCACAACCTGTGAATTATTTATTTCTACAAAAATGTACAGATTACTGGAGAACAACAGAGAAGGTAATAACTAGGAAGGTTCAAGCATTGTTTACGCACACAAACACAGCTGCTGACTGACAATGATGTTATTCATCGAGGAGAGATCGTTTTTCTTTTACCTTTTCATTGTCATTATTATCATTATCGTTATTCTCTTTATTTTGTGTTTTATCATTTAAATCTTTAACAGTCTTTTCATTGCAAGAAAAACAATCTATATATTTAGAATTCTATTAAAAAAAGAAGTATGAATATCATCTATTTTTAATCCCAAAAGCTTTAAAAAGTTTGTGTATTTTATTTCTTCGGGGCATATACTAAGGTATAGTTGTGACCTCATTTGTGTGAAACCAGATTACCTTATCCACATGGCAGCCACTTTTTTGTGTGGGAGAACAAGTTTGGTGTTGGTCTGCATGCCGTGCATAGAGATTTACATCCCATCATCGCCACAGGGTCTGAATCTGAAGAATGTACAAGGATTTTTTAAATTGCTCGTGTTACATTTAGTGGGTCGTTTATCCCATTCAGACTCTTAGCAGCAGGTCGCTGTGTGCAACTCTTTGATTCACCCTGCTTGTTCTCCCAGAGACGAGTGGCTGATTTAAACCCAAAATTCACTCCTGTTTGTTGACACAAGGCCAGTTCAAGACATATCTATGCCAGGTGGTGAAATGAGTTAAAACACACATCGGTTTTCATGGTTTCTCTCAGGTGTCTCTTCACTTTGTACGATTCCCACCGTCTATTATTACACTGGACAGACAATGAGCAATGCTTTCCACCTTTTTCTCTGCAGAGTAATCCCTTCTTTTTTCCTCTCTGCCTTCTTGTGAAGTAGCTGTCTTAAGGCGAGGTGCATGTGTGTAGATGAAGGCGCTTCAGTCAGAAATAAAGTGATATCCTGTCCGAATCTTTCCGGGATTTTTGTGAGCGCTAAATCTTTATTAGTTTTGAGAAACTCACATGGACAATCAGGTGTCGGTAGGCATGGTCAGAGACCTCAGAGTAGACAGGGCAGGGGGTTTTAGATCGTCTCGGACAAACTGGAATCTGGACTACTTTTACTTTTCAGTTTCGCGTCTTCTGATCCAAGTGCTTCTTATCGGGATCTGCTTGAGACCGGCTCGTCACCCGTAGAGGTTAGAGCAGAGAATGTTTTGCAACCCCCAAACTGCGCGGTTGCTGCCTCTTTTGAGCTGAGACGTGATCATAACTGTGTGTGCGTGTTTGCTTGTGTTGGTGCAATCTTGTGTTAATTTATGGCAGGAGAAACAACATGTCACTTTCTAAGTAGTTGTGTCTTTGCATTTTTGAATAGATCAATCATTCAGCTTTTTTAACTTTACCTTATGTTACTTCTTTGGACTAGTGACTGTTAAATATTGTTACTCACCCTCCCTCCCTTCTGCCTCCCAAGTCTCAACCCCACAGCCGTGCCAAGCAGCCTTCGAGTCCCTGCTGACGTTAGGAAGTAAATCAGGCTTTGTACACGGGTTCTGTTCTGTGGCCTTAGCACAGCGTGAGGTGACCGGAGAGTGAGCAGTACGTCCACCTGATCACTTTTTACTGTTCAGTCAAATATCACCAGGTGGCTGTCCCGGCTTTGATTCTGTACTCGCTTCTCGGTGGGAAATCACCACCAGCTGCTACGCAAACACTGGTCACTTTGAAAAGTGCTCTTGAAACTGGATGAATGCCGCCATCAGAATGCTATTTTTAAGTTGGTTAAAGTAGTAAAAGAACTCAAGGGGCGGACGGACTGCTAAGACTTGTTGTTTTAAACCAGTTTAAGAACTCACACCTCAAAGTTCTTCCATGGTGTTGACGCCCATGTTGTAAAATAGTTCAGCATTTTAAAGGGATATTCCACCCCTAAAGGAAATGTAATCTGTTACCATATTCCCTAGTGTTAGATGAGTGAGGGAAAACATTTTGTAACCAGCCCAGTCATTCTCCTTATCTGGCAGTATTTCATTAGCTTTAGCTTAGCATAAAGGATGTAAGTGAATGGTTAAAATTCAAATTCAAAAAGATGTCTAAATCCGTAAACACAAATGCGTGGCTACCGGGTTTATACTTGGTACAGTTTTTTTGAAGGGACAGCATAGTAATGGTGCATTCACATTGAGATTGGCCCGGTCTAGCCCAGGTTGGGTAATTGTATTCACGTGTGGGTTATCCGTGTGTTTCTGCACTCAGCTGACCAGTTCTGTTGGACCTGCTGTCCGGCGGGTAGCTTTCCGCATGCGGAACCGCAGCGGAACATCACTGCTTTAAATAGAACCCATTAAAGTCTATGGACTGTTTCAAACCAGCAGCGACGCAACAAATTCCAGGCACGTCCGAGAACCCTAAAGATAGTATCGGGTACTATTTTTGCCTCGAGCCGCTTCTGGGACACGTCAATTTCTGCAGTTAACATTAGGCTAGACAGGAAATCACACTGTTTCCGTGTAAAATCCCCAGTAATTTTCAAAGTAAAAGTACTGGAGTGATGCAATTTCATAAATGAAGCTTACGTGTGACCCAACAGCTTACTTACTCACAGCATTGTTCCAGAAGTGCAGTGGTGTGTTTGTCATGGCTTAAATCTTGGCAGTGGAAAGGAACATCATCGTATATGACATCAAACAGCGATATAAAACGTGATTTCCTTCTTTTTGGTTTAATGGCAGATTGCATAAACAAGCCGTGACCTTAAGTCTCGAGGGGTCTTGTAATCTCGCGAGTCCAGCAAAGAGCACAGCGAGGAAGTCACACCGCATCCCAGACACTCCCGGTGTGAAAAGGACCGCTTTAAAGTTTGCGAGTAAACCGGTCCGCTGCCGTTTTACTCCGCTAATGCTTCCAGTGTGAAACCGGAATTATTTGTCTGGATGAAGTGGGGTAAACATCTTCTCTGACTGCAGCTCGAACTGGCCCCTCCAGCCGAGGGAGCGCAAAGATTGACTGCTGTGAAAAGAGCCCACAGCAGCACTGCTGCTCAGTGAGAGGAAGCTGTGTGTTTCATGTCAGTATCCAAAAGCAACTATGCTCACGACCACTTTTGTTTACTAATTTAAGGAAGACACCACAGGCTTTTCAACGAGTCTTTAGTGCCGCCCACGTATTCGGAAACATCCATGTTCCTGTGAAGGCTGTTATGATCCTAATTTTCCTTGGTGATCTCAATAATCTTATTGATGGGAAATGGAAAAAACAAACAAATGAACAAGTAACACAAAGAATTAGAGCAAATTTTAGTGAAACTTAAGCCGCATTTACATCTGGGTGAGCGTCGACTGGACTTTATTCAAACAGCCTTCACAGGAACATGGATGTTTCCGAATACGTGGGCGGCACAGTTGACGCTCACCCAGATGTAAATGCGGCTTAAGTTTCACTAAAATTTGTTCTAATTCTTTGTGTTACTTGTTCGTTTGTTTGTTTTTTCCATTTCCCATCAATAAGATTATTGAGATCACCAAGGAAAATTAGGATCATTATTGAGGGATTGTTCACAACTTTTTCCACATGATATGCTAGTTGTTACCATTCACTTACTTTGTTTATGCTAAGCTAAAGCTAATGGAATGCTGCCATATTTGGAGAATGACTGGGCTGGTTACAAAATGCTTTTTCTCCGCTAATTCAACTCTTGGGAATATGGCAAAAGACTAAATTTCACTTGGGGTTGAACGTCCCTTTAAAGTGAGGCGGATAATAAAATCAGTCATTCAAAGTCTTTACCTATATGAGAATGCTTAAGTACTGCTGTTACACTCTGATTCGGACAAACTTAAGGAAAATATTTACATCTGCATATTAAATTCCTGTTTCTCTGTTGTACCTCTGAACAAATGTGCAAGGTGTTTGAGTTTATATTTAATAATATATTCAGATTTGTGCTTTAAAGGTTGACTACGTGAATTTGATGTGTAACATATGCCACTCTGCTTACTTGGCCCGCTTTATCTGGAGTTTAATTTTCAGTTTGTTATAATTTGAGAATTTTAGTGTGTTATTTATATTGTAATTCAAATTCAGATTGGACGATTTTGTAGCCTTGGAATAGACAAACTAACTCATTGAATAGCTCTGCCTTGCTAGATTGCTTTGAATATTTTTGCGTGCATAGTCAAATTGTAGATTTACATTTTATTTAATAGCTTGTTTAGCATTTAATGGCTTAATAGCATCTGTGCAAATGGGGTGTGGATGTTCTTTGTTACACTGTAGCTAAACTGTGAAGGTCTCAACAATGGCAAACGCAAGTATCAGGGAAAAGAAAAGATATATTTGTTAGCATATTCCTTGTTTCCTTGTCTCTAACTTTAAGATGGAGAGTGGTGTTTTTGCTGGTATTAGGTCGCTGGTTTCCTCTTCAGTTGCAGATGTCACGTTTGCTGGTAATGGTTGACAATCAAATAGAAACAGCTGAATGTCTGTGGGGGAGGCTGGCAGGAGAAAACGAAATCCAATCAATCCAGATCTAAAGGATCAACATGGCTTTTTCAGAAATGACCCCTTGACCTTTTGGCCCCCAAGGCAACATTTATGCACCTGCCCCCCCCCCCCCCCCCCCCCCCCCCCCGTTCAGCCAATCCATGTTTATTGTATATCTATTGACTGCCTCTGTGAGATATTTGCATTTGAACAGCGGAGGTACTGCAGCTCTTCTGCCTCGTTCTGTGCAAGGCAGTATTTTCAGGGAGGGTTGTTTGTAATTGTGCGATGGCGACAATCAGGAAACGTTAAGGCAACACTGTATACCTCGAAATGCTCTCAACATCCCTTCAACCACAAACCAAGCCCCGTTTCTACCTCACGAACTTCAGCTTTGGCAGGTAGCTTCTCATCAGCCACAATACAGCATCCTGTCACGGGCTGCGCTCATACAGAAAAAACTCATCAGAATGTTTATACAGTTTCATAAATACCATTAAAGAGATTGTTATAACCACAGACAATCAGATATCAGCTTAAATGGAACTCCCACCATTAATCAATCTCTATTTTAGTTGTGAAAGGATCATGGGAAGCTCAGTTCAGGCTTTAAATTCTGTGGTAAGAGCACCCCCTGTGGAAGCTTTTATTATAATGGATGGAAACGCAGAAAAGCAAAAAGGTTGTAAATATTATATTTACCTCAATTGATTAGTTTCATTCTTTAAGTACATCTTCACATCCCCCTGGTGTTTCAATGGTTTTATGCTTACTGGGGTGTGAAAGCCTCTGAATGGCTGTTCAGGTGGTCAGGAAACACTAAAACGCACGACACCAGACTCCAATTTTTAGGGTCAGTAGCTCTTGAAGGCATTCACACAAAAGTAACAGAATACCAGTCGGTTATCGGGTATTCCGGCTTGCTGTAGCTGTGATCAAGCAGGTGCCTCCTCTCAGAATTTTCTTTTAGATATTTAAAGTCACATTGTAGCAGTAAAATCAGTCTTAACTGAGCAGAATCTGAAACCCAAGCTTGTTCTAAGATTTGAGAAAGCCGATGTTTTTCAAACTGGTGTTTTGTTTTTCTTTTTGAATTCTAAATTTGATTGTGGATCTTCTCTGCATCATTAGGTTAGAGGGCGCTCGCTCGTTTAAAAACTGTGGCTTCACCCTGTGCCGTGAGGCGATGCAGGTGAAACCTCGGATCAACGGGTTGCACAGACCGGAACAAAGACTCTGCGGTTTTGCTTTTCTTGAATTAAAATTTCCTCAATATCAGCACAATCAGTCTGTTGTGACCGGTTTGCTTGTAGATCATTACAAGAAAATGTTCTCTTGAAATACTGCTGCTTTTCCTCCCACCAAAGCTGTAGATAAAATAATGCTTTTAGAAAATCTTAGGTCCAAAGAATCTTGCATGGAGATCTAACTTTTGAGCCTCGTTCCCACGTGCTTCAAACATGACCATTCAGCTGGAACGCTTACTGGCTGGGGCGCATGAGGGTTCAGGGAATCGGACTGGACTTTATCACTGATTTGACCTCTATCAGGTGGACTGTGGGCAGGGAAAATGATGACGAGATGCCTTCTGCTGTGACAATTGTATGAATTAACCTGTATTTCTAAGATTCATTAAATAGATTATTTCAGAAATGAGGCTTTTTGTGGCTATGGAGGACATTGTGTTTATATTGTTTTTTTTTTTTTTTGTTTGTTTTGCTGTTTCTTTGCTTTTTGACATGCTTTTAGCAACTGAGGCACACAGAAATTACTTCTAGAGCAGTTTTATGAATATAGCTATGATGATAAAATAATAATAATGATTATTTTAGGTGTGTGTGTGTTTGTGTGTGTGTGTGTGTGTGTGTGTGTGTGTGTGTGTGTGTGTGTGTGTGTGTGTGTGTGTGTGTGTGTGTGTGTGTGTGTGTGTGTGTGTGTGTGTGTGTGTGTGCGTGCGTGCGTGCGTGCGTGTGCGTGTGCGTGCGTGCGTGCGAGAGAGAGAGAGAGAGAGAGAGATCTAAAGGTGTATCTGAGCATCTTCAGAATGGAAACAAAGCGTATCTATGTGTCTTACAATTTCTCAGGAAAATCTACCTCTACCTCCAGTTTAATGCATTTTACCCAGTGTTGGCTCAAGTCGCTGATCAGTGGGAGGAGGGCATGAGGACGGGCATCTGGGTCTAAAATTAACTTCAGCCGTTACCAAAATAGAAATAATCCTCCATCTCTGGTGACACGTGGGAGCTGGAAATTGTAATTGTGAGAATGTTTTCAGCTTCTTCTCACCATAATGTTTATGATGTAATTCAAAAGTGTTTAGCACACTCCTCATGTGCCCTCCTCTTGCCATCGCTACATGTTTGTAACCTTTCTGCTGTTTGGTTTATTTGAGCACCAGCATCAGGGATCCTCCAGCTCAATGTCTAACTACTACTAGTACTACAAGTAGTACTTCCTGTACCACTGTTAGTATGACAAGTCCGTTTTTGAATCTCCCTGTCTGCTCTCTTAACGTGTGCTTTTTTTCTCCCTCCTCTTTTTCCTAAATGATTACATTTTTGACGAATGGGACATTTCCCGGTAACCACGGCAACAGTGAAGTGGTGTCGGGCAATGCAACTGTTTTTTTTTTATTTTATTTTCTTTGTTTTGTTTTTGAAGGGTGAAGAGCAACTCTTGCCTATTTACTCCATGTGTTTGTGTGAATACTTTTATTTTGAATCTAAAATTAATAAAATATCATCATTCTTAAATGTCATATATCTTTGACTTTTATTTATTTTTTGTCTCGGGACGGCTGGTGATCATGTTTTGATTAAGTCAAGAGGTTAAAACCCATTTAACTGTTTGACCCATCTCTGGAAGTCTGCAGCAAAGATTAATCTTCCCAAGGATATTTTATTCTTTCTGTTAACATGGAAGCCGCTCAGCCACGCTCAACATCTCCCACAGTTGTTTCACACATTTAACATCATATAAGTCTCATCATTTTTATATCCATCAATTGGTTCAGTGACCCTCGGGTCATCGTGAAGATTTTTCCGTTTAGGATGTCACTAAGCAGAACAAGTTTGTATTGATTTGCAGTGAATCGTCCCAAACTAATAAAATGTGTATTAACAGCATTACTAAGCCACCTGATCCTCTCACTCCAGAGGTCAAGAGTTCATTTCTTTTCCTCTCCATGTTACCTTTCTTGTGTCTGAGGGCTGGTTAATTAAATAATTATTGATCTGCACTTGTAAAGCACCTTCCAGAGTCAGAGGACTCCAAAGCGATTTATGCTACAGCGAATCACTCATCAATTGCCACGCTGGTGGTAATGAGCTACAATGTAGCCCCAGCTGCCCTTGGGCACACTGACAGAGATGAGGCTGCCGTAAAAATGTGAAATTTTCATTGGTTGTCAGTTATAATCATCAAATATAAAATAAACCTTTGAAATATATCAGTCTGTGTATAATTAAGGAATCTAGTTTACAAGTTTCACTTTTTGAATGGAATTACTGAAATAAATCATCTTTGTCATGATGTTGTAATTTTATGATCTGCATCTATAAGTCATTTTTGCTTCAACTTATCAGACTTTAATCAGTGGGTAACAAACTTCTGCAGTACTAGAACAGAATAGAATGGAATAGAATATACTTTATTGACCCACAGAGGGGAATTTCACTTCCAATGACATGCCAAACATTTAACTATTGAATCGTTGAAAAAAGGGAAACAACTATAAGAAGCTGGATAGAGGAATACAGTGACATTGCTTAATACAAAATGTGTTTTCATTTATTGAAATTCCTTTAAATTGTTTGTTTTGTATTTTACTCTCAAATTGTATTTTTGATTTGATATTTAAGTGAATAATATAAAACTTAAAGTATATTATAGGAAAACAAAAAGTGGTTTCTAAATTGACCCAGATGTCTCCTGTCTGTCATTCACGATCACGTGTAAACATGTCGATGGTAAACACAGAGGAACGTGACGCTGATCTGGGTCGTTAAGAGCTCAAGCACCGCCCTACAGTGTTGCTCACAATACTGAACCTAACACACCTCTTTGGATTTGAAAACGCGAGTGGAGATGACGCGGCGGAGCGGGGCGGAGTTAAGCATTGTCTGTCAGTGAGGTGGAAAAAAATATCTCAAAACAAAGCTTTCCAGCCGGTAAAGATACGGTACAGCGACGGGTTTTACATGTAGATGACCTCAAGTCCTACATGAGAAAGGAAAATGAGACTCCGGTCTCAAAAGATAATTGCGATTGGTCCGGAGACGCCGAGAAACAGCCGTCGGCGTTCCCAGAGAAGGAGGTCAAGCCTAGCTGTGACTCCAACGACACCAATAGTTCCGTCACCGACTGTGACTGACAACCCGCTACAAGCCAAGGTAAAACTCAACCCATCTTCCCAGAAGTATTGATAATCAGTATTTGGTAAGAAGTGTGAATTAGCCAGGCATCTAAACATCGTGTTTTATGTTTGGCTAGTTAAGCGGCGTGTGCTGTCGCTTAGCCTGTTAGCTATTCTTGCTACAAACAGGACATGCTAATGTTAGCCTCAAAGCTGATTGGCCTGCTAAGTTTTAACAAATCCCTAATTTATCCTTGTAAATGTACATTTGATTTATTGTAAATGTGTTTGACACGCTAATGCAAGATTAAATGAAATGCAAAAGCTATAGCAATACTAGTTAATCCGTATTATTAAAGGTCTTACTACGTGGCGCTATTGCACTGCAAAAGGCATTACCTGTCGTGTTTTCATTTTATTTTTTTCTGTCATTTTGCGGCCAACAGTAGTAACTTTTATTTATGATGTGATCTGCTGATTAGCCTCTTTTAAAATGGATATAATGCAGTCAAAACACCCCTTTTAACCCAGAATGTTTTAAACAAGAAGCTACACTTTTTGTGGGGATTATAGTATTTATTTTAAAAGGTTTATTGGTTTTTCTAAGCGATTTTCTCTAAATTGAAATGTCCAAGAAAGGTCCTGCAGTTTATCTTTTAGTTTTGGAAATTGTTTAGCAAAAAATGGGTATTTGTTTTTTTTTAAATAGTTTAATGGGAAGCATTGAGTAACATTTTCAGAATAATGGGGTGATTAGTTAGCCTAATGAACTAGACCAAATTCTTGCTTTGCAAAGTTTGTCTATATATTCACATATATAGTCTGGCTTGCCAGGGTAGTGATTAGTTGTAGACTAGTAAACAAATCAGACCTGAAAAAGCATGCAGAAGGTAATTTAGACTTTGTTGCTTTCATTTTTCTACCATATTAATGTTAAGCTCATGAGTGACTGAGAGCTGGCCTAAAATTTGACCACGAATGGTTAAATTACATCAGTAAACCTCAGATCTTCCGCCTGATCATCATCATCATCATCTTTATTTGTATAGCGCTTTAAAAAACACAGCCATAAGGCTGACCAAAGTGCTGAACAGTCACACAATAATAAAAATATAACACATGAAACAATAAAATGCAACCAAGAATACAATAAAACAAGTCAAAAATAAAATAAGAGTTGCCAATAAAACTGATGGAAACATGTCACAGTTTAGGACCACCAATGGAAAAAGCTCTTTCTCCACATGATTTGTAATGCACTTTTGGGACCTCGAGGAACAACAAGCTGGAGGACCTAAGTGTGCGGCTGGGGGAATAAATTGAGAGAAGGTCAGATAAATACGCAGGGGCAAGACCGTGGAGGGATTTGAAAACAAAAAGTAGGAGTTTGTATTGAACCCTGAAAGTGATGGGCAACCAGTGAAGGGATCTGAGAACTGGTGTCATATGCTGGCGCCTGTCAATACGTGTCAGGAATCTAGCAGCTGCGTTTTGAGCAAGTTGAAGTCGAGCGAGGATTGATTTATTAACACCCAGTAAAACAGCATTTGAGTAGTCAAGCCTAGATGTGATAAAGGCATGAACTACTGATTCCAGATTCTTTCTAGATAAGACAGCTCTCAATTTGACCAGATGGCGGAGTTGGAAAAAGCAGGATTTTACCGTGGCATTAACCGGGGCGTCCATCCTTCTGTGGCAACTTGGAGAAACAAGGGCCCAGGCGGGATTCAGTCCCCAGACTCCCGGGTGAGAGTCATGCGCACTAACCAGTCAGCCAAATGGACATCCCCTTGGCCAAGTAGCCAGGACGCATGATCAATCGGGACACTGTGACAGGACGTTCACACTGCCACACTTTGAGATGAATCCATCTTCACACCTAGATTTGTTACAATTGTTTTTAGATTTAGAGAAATGGAAGAAAGGGGTTTGAAATGCGCTAGGTCTGGCCGGAATAAACAGGATCAGTTCAGCCTTGGAGTTGTTAAGATGTAGAAAAGTTGTGGTTAGCCAACATTTCACATCACGAATGCAATCTAAAAGAGGCTGAATGGATGCTGGGGTTTCACAGACATGTAAATCTGACATTCATCAGCATATAAGTGATGGTGAACAGGGTGTTGTTTTAAGATAAAGCTAAGGGGAAGAAGGTAAAGAGAAAACAACAGGGGCCCCAGAATGGATCCTTGAGGGACTCCAGATAAAAGAGGAGCAGTGCGAGATGAAATATTGTTCAACACCACTTGTTGGGACCTGTCTGACAAATGGGACCTAAACCAGGTTAGGGCTGTACCATGTATTGCAGCAATAAAAGGATGTTGTGGTCGACCGTGTCAAAGGCAGTGGACAGATCGAGACGTAATAAAACAATATAGGAGCCAGATTCAGTAGTCATAAAAATATCATTGAATACACGGAGGAGAGAGGACTCCGTGCTGTGCAGTGGTCGAAAACCTGACTGAAAAACATCCATTACGTTATGATCAGCTAAATGAGTTGATAGCTGATCATAGACCACCCTCTCCAGAATTTTTCCAAAAATGGGAGTTTAGAGATAGGGTGATAATTGGATAGAGCCAAGGTGTCAAGGCCAGGTTTCTTTAAGAGCGGCTGTACCACAGCATGTTTGAAGCCGGGGGTACCACACAGGAAGTAAGACTGGTATTGATAAAGTGTAGGATATATTGACCAATAGCTGGGAACACCTATTTCAAGAGACGCAGAGGAAGGATGTCGTCTGGGGAACTGGAAGGTTTCATCGACAGAATTAACGATTAAAGACATAAAAGGGAAATGGGTTTAAAACTGAGGAAGGGTGCTGTATTTAAAGTTAAGGTAGGAAGGGTGTGCAGAGGGAGTGATAAGCTAGCCCTAATAGAGGAAACCTTATCTGAAAATAAGTCTAGAAACTGATCTGGAAGATTTGGTGCAGTAACTGAACCGTTAGATTCATACGGAACGAGAACAGAATTAATAGTTTTGTAAAGAACTTTCTGATTGAACCGGTTTGCAGAAATAATTTTAGAAAAATAGTAGCTTCTAGCGTGCATAACTGCTTGTTGATATTTGGACCATAGGTCTTGCAGGATCTGATATGAAATCTGGAGGTGGTGGTCTGGAGAAATTGCCGGTTCAAAAGCACTCAGTTCAAAGGAGGTAATTTCAGAGGAAAAAGAAAACGGATTTGAGGTAAATGAGGATTTAAAAATAGTTAAAAGGCCTCATCCATGGCCACACTGTCTGGGAGAGTTTGTGAATGAGCATGCAGGGGGGAGAGTCTCCGCTAGAGCAGCTGACTCACCCAGGGCGATCCAGGATTCCACGACGCAGAGAAAGTCCAGCGCTCGATCACGGAAAAGATCTCTTAGTATGAAAGTTTTGTTCCTGATGTATCTTGCGTTTATAAGAGCAAAACTGATGGAGGTTGAGTCTTGTTGTATAATCCAGGCTGTGGAGCAGACGGCAGATGATGTAGGCCTGGGCGATATGGCAAAAAGAATGATCATGATATATTTTTCCATATCGTTCGATCTCGATTTTAATCACGATTAATTTTTATATAGTCAGTTTAAAGCAGCTTAAAATGTAAAAATAAAGAAACTAGATATTAGTTAAACCTTTTATTGACATTCTGTGTGTCTTTAATGCTATACAGGTACAAAATAAACAAAGTATTTGCTGAATGAAACATCTTTGAGCTCCATCTCTAGCTTTTCTCTGCATTCATCATACAGCTGTGGCAGTGCAGTTTGAGAAAATACTTTCGGCCAAGTATTTCGTACCTCTGGTCCAGAACTTTGATTAAATGCTTAAGTCCTTCTTTCTCTACTGTGTTCAGAGGCATCGTGTCTTTTGCTATACAAAAAGTTATAGCTTTTGTGATGGTTTTGCTTCTCTTTGAGTTCTGCTCGTACGGTGCAACAGCTGAAAATGACAAGATGATTTATTGCTGTTTTGGTTGTGCAGCTGCACCACCAAAGCCGACTGGACCACTACTAGCAGTCGCGCTAGTGCTAAGTCTACTTTGAGACAAGCTAACAAGTTGTCCGGACTCTGCTCGCATTTTCACGCTCTCTGTATAATCACTTGGGTGGTATTTCTTTAGATGATTAAATAGATTCGTAGTGTTGCCAGTTTTTGAAGGCACCATTCGCCGACATATCTTGCATGTCGGCTTGATTTGCTCAATGTCACTTTTGAGATGCCCGAACCACCGCCACACAACTGACGTTGAGTAACTTTTCTTCTGAACAATGTCTTCATCTCCAGAAGACAACTCAGAGTCATGACTGGGATCTACTTCGCGGTCTTCAGCTCCACGTTTGACCATTCTGCTTATTAAACATCTTCACCGAAGTAGCAGAGCAGGAAAAGTGTAATTGCAAATGCTTCTTCTTTTTGTTAAATGGCGGTGGGCAACCAACGCACATGGAGGGTTAGCGCCCCCTACTGAGGCTGCAAACATCTGTTATTTCTGATCGAGACTCCCAGCTGATCACCGTAATTGAACTGAAAATGATCGTGATCACAAAGTGCGATCATATGATCGCCCAGCCCTATGTCGGCACTAGGAGAAGGTTTGCTGGGCTGATTCCCCAATGGCGCAGCACCATTGGCACAGAGCGGAGCTGTGGGCCCGCCAGGTCCCCGTGCAACTCCAATGGGACCACATGGAACTGCCGGATCCAGGGATCGCCAAGAGTAACACAGACTGGGCCCTACGCCAACAGAGATCCTGAAGGAGGCAAGTGAGCGAGCCAGAAAACCTCTAAGCCTCACCAGTCGCCCGGCTCGACAGCCGCGATGGCGACGCTTCCAACCACAGAAGCGACACGGCATCCGACACAGGTAGAGAGGAGGTCCAGGGAGCAGCGGGCAAGAGGTATGATGGAAATCTTTCACAGCAGGCGGAGAAAGGCACATTGCCAACCGTATGTCCGGAAGAGTAGAGCGATCATACTTAATGATTGCAATTATGGGGCAAGGAAGTTCAGGAATATCACCAAAAACAATAAAAGAAGACAGCGGGGTGGACGGCCGGCCAAGAAACACTGGCGCCATCTTGGAAAAAAAAAATGAGGATGATGCTGCCAATGTTTGATCCCTGTGTAGGTTTGAGATTTTCTGCTCTCACTGTAACCAGGTTGGTAAAGTAGGTTAAAGTGAGAGGTGGTCCAAGGAAAGTAGGTCATCGGGACATATGCTGACATGCTTTTATATGGATGAAGTCTGACAAGGTTGATTTGATCCCAGGAGTTTGATTGACTGCTCTTCTTTCTATTGGCTTGATGGTTGAATGCTATAAGCATGTTACATCATATAACAGTCAGTATGAAATAGTGATACATCTGATGCTGCACCAGAGCCAATGTAATCCATTTTTAATGTACGGATTTACCATGTTTATTCATTGTGTTTTGTTTGAACACTAACACTGTTGTGATGATTCTTTCTCATGATCAGGATTGATGTAGTAGATGTATATATTTTGTCCATATCCCCATGCCTAGGTGTGAGACTGATGGTAATTCTTGTTAAAGTATTTATTTTACTCTTGGATTCCTAGGTCGAAGAAACCTCGGCTGAGCACTCAGAGGATGAAGTCCCCACTGTGAGGAGGCGCCCACTGCCTCGTGGCCGACTCAGAAAGAGGGCCATTCCTGTTGAAGACCGAGAGTCGGGTATGTTTTCTCCATTAGCACTGTGTCACATTATGTTGTAAGGTGTTAGGGTTGGAGTTTATTTTTGTGTAAAATCCCCAGTTTTGTATTTTTTCCTGTCTTTAATAATTTTCTCCCTGTCTAGATTTGGCGTTTAAGACTCCACTCAGGCCTAAAGTGCGCCGTGAGCATGTGCTGTCAGAGATTGACGCAGAGTCTCCTCGTAATTCAACAGCAAGAAACATCTACTCGCCGATCGTACGCTTCCTCACACCCAGCAAGGAGAGTGAGTACAGGGACTGTTATTCTAAAGGCCAAGTTCACTGAGAAACCGTTTTTACTTATTTTTTAAATACGATCGGTCACTCTGAGTTTCACATGGAGGCTAATTGTGGAAAATAGTCTTCAACCCCTATTTCTTTTAACATGACCCAGCACCTCAAAGAAAGGAACAAAGATTACGTGGGTCTGCTACGTGGTCTCCGATGTAAAATCACACACACGTCTGTCTTTCTATCATAGTGAGGACCCTCCATTGACTTCCATTCATGTTTGTGACTCCGCTATACCTAACCCATACCCTAATCATAACCAATGCTGATCCTAACCTTAACTAAATCTTAAATCACATCATACCTCTAAAACCAACTGGTAAGCTTCTAAAAAAAAGTGAGGACCAAAAAAAATGTCCTCACTTTGTAGGGAAAAAGGTCAAAATGGTCCTCGGTATGTAGTAAGTACAAGAACACACACACATACACCCACATGACAACAGTTACTTTGATGTAGTAAAAATAAGCAATTTAAAGAAGATTGCATGAGCGTTTACAGTGTAATGTCCAGAAAGGGTCAATTTTGACCTATATATATTGACCTACATAGTGACCGGTCATCTACAGAAATAGGTCCACTATCTAGGTGGATTTTCTATTCTATCTTCTAACACCCAGAAGGTTCTGTAGTGCTTGTTGACAGTCCATGAAGACAAGATTGTCAAACTAGATCTCCAAACAAAGGCTGTCCTCTTAAACTCAGACTGCTGGATTCCACACTCTGAATAAAAAGTGAACTTTTACAACTCATAAGTTAACCAGATGTTATATGAAATGTTTGAGTAATCTGTGCCTAATTCAGTGAAGTTGAAATGATTGTTGTCTTACAATGATCCATTTATATCTTATGATCAGTACTGTTTGATTTAACAAGTTAATCATTATCTACACTCATACACAATGTTCATTAGATGCAATTTAAGGTTAAGGTCACCTCACATAAAGTTTAAAGATTCTTTATCCACAGAACTAGAACATCTTGTATCTGGAAGGTGTGGTTTTCTGAGGGATGTTTGGTAAAGCCTACAAACATGTCAAATTCTGATTCGCCAGAAATCATAAACTCTAGATTATTATAACTAGAGTGACTTCCCGAGTTATTCAGTTTTGAGCGTAACTCGGAAGTGGCCAATTCGGAACAAGCCTCCTTGAGGCACCCCTTTCTCTGACACACAGTCAGACCTGTTGGCACACTGCCAGCTGACACAGCCATATGACTCCTTAAGAGAACATCCGTCTTAGACGCAACAAACCTTCATGCCTGTTGTGACCTGGAGACAACTCTAGACCAGACTGGTCGCACCGCGGTTAATCTATGAACTTCGGTGCCTTGAGGTCCACACGACTTCCTGATATTCTGGATCTGACTGGGGGGTCTCCGATCAGGGTTTGTAAACGCAACAGATTGCGTCTGATGTTGTTTTATTAATAAACAACTCTCTAGTTTATAGCAGACAACAAATTCTTTTACACCCAGAATTCACAATCTCTTTCAGATACAAAGGTTCTGATACACATCTACTTTACACCACACCAACTACAACTCACATTGCATCACCGCATATCTACTCCAGGGTTTTTCCTGCATTCAAATTTGCGTGACGGTTGCCTCCAGCTAATTTTGTGCCGCCCCAGCCTGATTTCACTCTGCCCCCAACTATATGGATGTTATTTTAACTGCAGTTGTAGCGTTGCGCCACTACACGGGAGCTGTATCAGCAGCGGTGCACTGAAAAGCACTAAAACAGCTACAGAAAACGATCAAAAATTGCTTTTCTCGCTAGTTGGTACATATCTATGGTTGGTGCTATTGACGTCCTGATTTTCCCCCAGGCTCTTCCATATCAGAGCAGGGCTGCACAGTGCAACGAACAAAACTGTGCGTGTCTGTCTATTTTTAAAAGTAACACTGGTCCAACATCTTTGAATTAC